GCCCAGGCCCCACTCGTGACTGACTAGGGCCTCGGTGGAGTGAGTGCCGCCCCCGCCCGGCCCCTCAGGACGCACCTGATGTGGTTTCGGTGGTTTACAGAATGCATGGTGTTTTGTTGCAAGTATGTGTTTAAATATATATTTGTTGGTTTCAGAGAGGAAGGGAGAGGAAGAGAGAGAAACATCAATGATGAGAGAACCATCGATCGATCGGCTGCCTCCTGCACGCCCCGCACGGGGATCGAGCCCACAACCCAGGTGTGTGCCCTGACTGAGAATGAACTGTGAACCGTGACCTGCCGGCCGGATTGCTGCAATTATTTGTGATGGACAACGGCGGCGCTAACCTGTGGATTCCGCACCCCTTCCCGCCTGTCTGACCGGTTGTGGGGACGCAGAGCTCTCCTCAGGTGAGTCCTCCTGTGGGACGGAGCCGCGTCCCCGTGAGCGGCTGCGATGGTTAACGGAGGGGAGCGCGCTCCGTCTCCCCCGGGGCTGCTGGAGCGGGTGCCGGGGTGCCACTGGCATCGGCGTTCCTGGAGGCCGCCGGAGGATGAGATGGCAGGAAGCCTTATTCCCCCGGAGGCACAGCCCTCGTTTCCAAAGCCCCACTTCCCTGAGCCGGGCCTGGGAGTGCGCCGGGGCCTGGGGAGAGGCCGCCTCAGACCGATGTCTGGCGTTTCTGTTCCAGGTCGGGCCGGGCCCAGCCCAGCGCCAGGCCGGCCACGGCCCATCAGCTCACTGCACACGGGTGAGAGGAAGCCACAGAGTCCCCAGAGTCCGGAACACACAGGCGTGGGACGGCTTGTGCCGGGCCGTGCACGCTGAGCCCTCACGGGGCCGCGCCCACTGGCCACCATCTCCGCCCCCAGGTGTGACGGACAGCAAGCCCTTCTCTCTGTCACCCCAGCTGTGCTGGACCCGCCCCCAGGGGACAGGCTGATCACGGCTGGCCTTCCCTTTGCTTCTCGTCTGTCCCTAATAACCAGTTAAATTACAAGATCGCCAGCCACTTGTGAGCTGCCTGTGAGGCGCAGCCACAATTAAAATCGAATTAAGCTAATTGGATCCTGTACACATGCCCATTACCTCAGGAACAACGGTAAGCAACACTGCACCTCCCGCTTCCTCTGCCGACAGCGCGGTCCCCTCGCCCGGGTGTGGGTGTCTGTCCTGGACGCCGGCGGAAATCGCCGAGACTGGGGGTTTGGCGCTCAGGCCCCCCCAGTTCCCCCCAACTCCGAGCTCAGAGTCCCAGGATCGGTGCTTGCGATCGTGGAAACCGCGCACACCACCTGCGGGGCTTCTCCCAGGGGCTGTCCGTCCGTCCGACCGGCACGCCCCAGGCGACGATCATTTGCTATTTTTAAAAAAATATTTTTATTGATTTCAGAGAGGAAAGGGAGAGGGAGGGAGAGAGAGAAACACCAATGATGAGAGAGAAGCATTGACCTGCCGCCTCCTGCTCGCCTGTGCCCAGGCCTGTGCCCGGACGGGGAAGCGAACCGTGACCTCCTGGTTCATAGGTCGACGCTCAGCCCCTGAGCCACGTACCTGGGCCGGGCTGATGGTTTGCTGTTCACATTAGAAATGAAACCGGGCGTTTAAAAATACTGACGGACTCAGCTTGTTAAAAATAGCAACTCGCCGTTACATGTTACCATGAATAGCATTTTATAAAAAGTGACTTTTCCCCCCAAAACAAAGTTGTAGTGACAAGAGCAACCTGGTTTATAGGTTGGCTAGTCCCTCGGCTTCTGCAGGCTCCCGGGTCCCATCGTCCGGTGCCCCTGGGGGGCAATAAGGAGAAAGCTGGCTTTCTAGGCGATGCAGGGTGTGGGGGGAGGGAGGGGGTCTCCTTGGGCGCACCCCCTGGCTGAGCGAGCAGCGGCTTCAGACAGGCAGCCCTGGAGCCACCGGCCGCGCTGCCCGGACCCTGCGGTGTGACTGGCGCCGCCCCCCTGGCCGCCCATGGAGCCCACGTGGGCTTGGGCGTTAGGCTGGGGTCGCGGGGAAGGCCGGGTTGGCTGCGCGGGTAGTTTCCCCGGTGCCCACGGGTCTCACACCCACACCAGCCGCGGCCCCGCAGGAAGTGCCCGCTGAGAATCTGGAGGCATCAGCCTCCACACGGTGACCGCTCACTGCCACGTGGGTTTCCGTCTGGACCGAACCCCAGGGGCCTTCAGAACCTCCCCCCTCACGGGTGGGCGTCCCAGGCTGCACACCACGTCCCTGCCCTGGCTGAGTGACCCCCCGTATCCGGGACCTGTCCCTGCACAGGCTCTGTGAGGCCAGTCTCAGGCCCAAACATGCCCCTCATCACCCAGTCGCTCCTGTCTGCCCTGGTGAGCCACCCTGGCCCCAC